TTCTAACTTATTTTTTAAACACTTATTTTTTTTCAAGAAAGTTTTATTGACTTAAACCGTATAATTATTAAAATTAACATATAAGAATAGGTTATCTGATTATATTATTACTTCATTATCCACATTTACACTAAAAAGATACTTTACAAAATAATATTTTGGTAGATTTTAAACATTATAAACTTAAAAACACGTATTTTGATCATTATTACATAGATATGATAAAATTAATTATTAATTTATGATATTTATCTATTTGATTGTGTAATTGACTTTTATCAATGAAATTGGTATTGGGATGCTATTTTAATCAATTGAAATAATTATCACTTCATTTACATTGTTTATATATAATAAAGATGACAATAATTATGTATTCACAACTATTTATGTCGGTTTGAATTATACATTATTGAACAAATTATTTATTGATGATTAATTTAAAGTAAAAGTACTTGTAAAATCAAATGTCATTATTTCAATTGATTAATTTTCAATTAGAATTATAACATTACTATAAGTGACTACAAAATCTGATAATTATGAATTAAAAGTATAATTCGAATAACTAATAATACTATTATTAGATTTATAGAATTAAAACAAATAGATTGTATTATTAGCACTAAGTCCTATTATCATCAATTAAGGATAAATGCTATAAGCAACTTGTAAAGAACTAGCATTTACACTAATCTTAATTGAACATATTTAACCGAATTAGTAGATTGAGGTCGGATTCACTGCACTTTACAAAATATCAATTGAATTATTATTATATCCTATTAAATAAAAAAGGATTTGTTGCTCAAATATCAGTTACAAAGGTTATATGAGTACATAACTTTAATTAATTTGACCAGCTTGTTGTTAGGCCATAAATGTAAAATTTAATGGTATTCCATCAGGATTTTGTTTATACTGTAATAACTATCCTGAGAAACTATTAAAGTTGTTTGTAATATCAAGTTCCAAGGAAGTTTGATTTTAAGGAAAATTTTAATTAAACATTACATAGATATTTGTATCATTCTAAGGTAATACTTAAAGATAAATGTTAGATTAGGTGTATATATATTATTCTTCTTTATACTGACATAAAAGTAAAAAAGAATAATTATTTCCAGCAAATTCGAAGTTAGTTAAATTGACTTATAAGGAAGGAAATTAAATTTTATATACTATTATCTTTTAATTAAATGAAAATAATTCGCTATCAGAATTGAAATATAATAGGGACAGTATCTTAGTCATGTAGATAATATGTATAAAAGCTATTGCCTTATTATTCGTAAATCAATATTTTATGATTAGTTTAATAGATTATAAAGTAGTTATTTTAGAATATCTTCAAAATGGACTCAGATTCAAACCAACATTATTAATAGGATGTTAGGATTATTTAATTTTCACACCCTAATAGTTAAATAAAGCAAAATCCTTCATATTGCTGATGATACATCAATAATATTTGATAGCATTAAGAATACATAGATAAATCATAATAGACTCTTATACTAAGTAAATCATTTATATCCTCCTAACTAAAAGCATATATTTAATACAATTAAGAATCTGGAGATATGGATAATTATAATATCTCTTGGGAAGTAATTGCATATATATTGGGACTTATTGTAATTGGGATATCAAAATCAACAAATTTATTTTTTAAGCTACTTGAATTTTGAAATGATGATGAAATTAGTGAAAGTACTGAATATTCTTTAAAATATTAGGCATATACTATAAAATTATTTGTTCCATTAACAATTTATTGCATTTTTGTTGAAGTAGGTATAGATGATTATACTTAATAAGCAGGTATTGATTATTCATCCATTAATTGAATTAAAAGCAATTCATGATTTTAATAACAATCTACTAAAATAGCAAAATCTTCGGACAAATTGATATTAAAACAATTAAACTAAGGATCAATTGTTATAGATTCCCCAACTTATTCAATTATTTAATTCTTCCATTCATACATTATCACTTCATTTTCATATGACAAAGTGATAAAATGAGTATTATTTGAAGACATTGATTTAAATTCTATAATTTATTTTTATATTTTACTATTGCCTACTATTTCATATATTTCTTCGCATTAATTCATAATTTATACATTTGGAATTTAAGGATCAATTTTGCACCTTAATTAAGAATCAGCTACCTATTAATCAATATATTACTTATAAAATTCTCCTTCTGTTGGGTACAATGAAATTCCTTATTCTTTATTGAATGAAAGTGAAAGGATAGCGCTGATCATATTGATTACCAGGAAAATTATTTTCATTGAGAAAAATAATTAATGAATTTTATATTTTTATTACATTCAAATTGGATTTATTAAAATTAATAATTAAACTACAATCATATGAAATACATATTTATCTGAATCTAAAGGACCGGTTAGTTTATTGATCTATAAGCAGCAGCGTCATTGTAATTTCAACATTTTTGATTAATTAAATCTTTGAAATTATTTGTTTATAATTATAATTTTAATCTCTTCACATTTGGTGAATAAATCCAATTTGACTTATTCCTTTCTATGAATACAACACTTTTAGTTTTAAACACTGCTAATTAATGATAACCTATATGTTATATTTAATTATATAGCAATCAATTAAATATTTATTTATTCAGTAAAAATCTGTAAAATCAACTTTGTAATTATAAAATTAAATTAAGCTAAGTGTCAGAAATCACTTCATCCTATCCTAATTCATTATACAGAAATTTAAGGCAAATCAATTCAATAATATGATATAATTCAGAGCAAACAACTTTATGTGTACTGAAATAAATATGCTTTCTAATTTTTTTTAAGATTACTGCTGAACTATTGATTGATTAGATCTAAGGGATTAAACTTTTACTAATATTATTCAATTCAATTATCGACTTTATTTAATAAAATTGATTTTTGTGTTACACTATATGACTAATCATTATAGAATATTTTCTTTATAAAATATTTAATTGTCTCTACACTCTTTAACATCATAGAAAATGTTAAATACCTAGTTTAGTTTAATAAAAGAATGTAAACCTTTATCATTTAATTACTTTACTTTTCTTTGCTTTTATTGTTATAACATATTTAAAATAATAGTATTCCCTTAACATAAATTATTTTATTGATTTTCAAACAATTTCATAAAGTTCAAAAGATAATTCATTTACATTTCTCATACTGATTAAATATAATCATATTCTTCGCACTTCTTGTTTAATAATTCTAATTAGTGAATGAGCATTATCAAAATGTCAAATATTTTATTTTTAAGATACATAATAATAATTCAAATTGTAACAATCCAAGTTTTAATTTTCATAGGTCCAACCTGGTCTTCGTTATAATTTTATTGAGATTATTCCTGGGTGTATGAGTCTGTCCATTCTAAAAATAGATTATATAAATATGTTACTAAATCTATTTAATTGCCAATTCTTTAATTCTTAATTTCCAGTTAAGGTAGTTTGCATGAATCTTATGCCTGCTGGAAAATTAAGTTTTTAGATTCCGTCTTCTCTAAAATTGTGTACTCTAACTAAATATTAATTCTCATTTATCCAAGGTTCAATGTAGAATTTGGATAAATTTTCATCAGCTTGTTTTTCAACTAATTTGGCAAATTTATTTTTTAATTATTTATATTCAATTTCATCCTAAGCTGAGAAATAAAGTAGTGGTTTAAGATCTTATTCATATTACAACCGTCTTACAATATTAGAATTCTACTTTGGATTATAGAAGACAATAGTATGAGACATCATCTACCTCATTCCAACACTTTTATTATCTACATCTTCTTATTCATCAAGTCTTTCATAGACTCCTTTATAATCATCATTATTCAAACGTCTTTGTAACATTAATTCAATAACGCCGTAACTAAGACTTGTTCCTCCTTATGCTCTATCATTGATAACTGCACATGCTTAATCTTCTTCTGTATTTTTGATCATGATGGCACCATTAACAGGGAAATAATTACCTGACACTGGTTCTAAAACTTTCATTTGCCAAGAATCCCTATGATTAACCTGGCGTCTTTAAAATGCCAATCCACTACTATCTGTATAAAATACTTATTTATTATTAATATCTGTAAGGATTTGTATAACAACCTCTTGTCCCTTCTAATCTGTCAAATTAATGGAATCCACAAAAGTATCTACATAGAATATATTTTCATCATCAAAATTTGTAATCCAAGTCTTTATGGCTGTTTTTTCAATATAAATTTATTTTACAATGCTACCAGTAAATTTATAAGCCTTTATGTAATCACCATATGGGTGTGATTCACCAAACGGTTTAAAGACATAAGCACCCGAGGTAGAAAAATAAAAATTATAGTTAAGCTTGAATTTGTTAAATAGTTGAGTATCAGCATCAACATTGATAGTTTCAGGTTCTATTTTATTGATATTGGTTTCATCTTCTGTGGCAACAGTTTTTAGTTTACAATAATGAAGGAGTTTTGAATTATCAACAATTCTTTGTAAATACAGAATGCATTATCCATCAACACAGAGAATTTCTCCATTTAGTAGATTGTCTTATTCATCTGTAGCTTTGAAGTACAAATTATCTGGTACAGATATCTTAAGGTATTCTTTAATTCCATCATTATTAACTTTAGTATCAATGATAGTTAAGATGACAGTTTAGTTTTTGATTAAAGGATCAAATAAGGAGTGACAGACATTGGTTCCATTAAAATTACAAGTAACATGATTAACTGACTTTGTATTTGATAGACTGTTGAGTAGAGTGCTAACTTGTTTATTCATATTTAGATGAGCAGTCTTGATCATTTTAACATAATCATTATTGACATATTATCTTGCAGTCCCTGTGATTGCATCATGATGTTAAGCTGTGCCTAATGCTTCAGCTAGATCTTATAAGGTTCTTTCATTACAAAGAGATTTACAGAGGTTATTGATTTTTACTAGGGAATAAAGCAATTTGACTTATTGGAAATATCTGCCTATTCTTCTCACATACCCTTTAAATGCAGATCTACTAGTGAAGTAACCTGACCAATATTGATTAGGGTAATCAGCATATGGGAAGAAGTCTTCCTATTGAGAAGGATAGGTGATATTCTATTCGTTGAGTGCTTGAATGTATTACTTTGGAGTTCCATATTGAATGTTCATTTAATATTTTTCCTTATTTTTATTGACTTAATTCATAACTCTGTCCATCTGGCTGAAATAGGATGCAGCATCTGACCACTAGAAATCCATTCCCAAAGTATGAGCCAATATATTCCCTCTGTAAACAGTTTGTTACTATTTGAAATATGCAGCAAGTTCATCTGTTTTCGCTTACAAATTAGAATCTGTAACCTCTTATCTATTGGGATTGGTAACATCGAAATCAAAACCTCTAGGTGATGAGTAATAGCCATAATAATTGACATGTGTCAATATGGAATGTCTTGAATCAGAATCAGGATGAATAACAAACTCTAATTCTTTATTTTTTTCTCTGATTGTACGATCTTCTTAATCGATACGCCCAAAAAACAAAGCATTGAATCCCATCATATTTGAGAACAGAGCTTGAGTATTTGAATGTCCAAATGGATCTACTTGCCATCCAATCGATGGAGTATAATTGAAGTTTTAGAGTAAGAATTTATGTCCAAGAGTCATCTAATCTATTATATCTTCATAGTATGATGTGGCCTCGTCATTCATGCACCATCCTCCACTCAAAAACTCTAACTGCCCATTCCTTACTAACTCTTTCACTTTCTCTTTCATCTCATCACTCTATTCGTTCCACCAACTATATTGTATAAATGAATTCCATTTACATTGAGAAGAAAGCAATCTCAACTTAAGAGAAGTACTTGGTCTTATCATTCATTAGTTATTCCATATATGAGCTAATAATTTATTGGACTCCATTTGAATCTTAGTAGTATTCCATCATGGTCTTTACCCATCCAACATCATCATGTGAGTGGGGAAACAAGAATACATTTAAATAATCCGTTTTAACCTTATTAACCTTTCCTAAGAATTTACCACACACTATTGATGCTAGGATTAGTAATATAATCATTTTTATATAATTATATTATATTATTTATCATTAATGTCTGAATAAGGAGAAGAATAACAAGGAGATGAGCAATTAGGAGATGAGCAACAAGAGGAATAATAATAACAAGAATAACAGCCATTTCAAATTGACACTCAAATTGTACTATCATTTTCATTTTATTAAGCCTCCTGAAGATGCCAATGTCTTCATGACTCAATAAAAACTAGAATAGAATCAAGTGTGGAAATGCTTTGATTTCTTGTTCCCAGCAGGGAAACTAGCCAAGCTTATCAAAGTTAATTATATGCAACCCAAAACATTCCCAATGACTGAAATACTTACGAAACTGAAATTAGATGATGGATTGCCTGTTGTCAATTTTATTGGTTGCAGACACAACTTTGACAATCCAAACTCTACTCGTGGCAAATTCTATGCTGGTATTGCCAGAGCATGTCATAATACTGATGCAGTTATCATTGACAATGGAATCACTACTGGCATTGAAAAATTCAGTCTTAGAAGAAATTGCACTGTATCTATCCTATTCAAGTATACATAGCTCATTGGTGTTGCACCTGAGTCAGTTGTCTCCTATCCCAAATTGAATCCTACAAAAATTGAAAAAAATGAATTAAGCAATGGTCATACACACATCTTCCTGATTGGAGGTGAACATGTTGATTTAGGAACTGAAGCACTATTCAAAATTAATTTATGCAAAGCGTATCAAATTATTTATAATATAACAGAATTGCCACTGGTAAGATCAGCAAGACTTAAGGGAGGCCAAGATGCAAAATCGTTAATATCCTATTTGCAGATTCTAATGATTGTTTTGATGAGATAAGAGAAGCCATTATTAACAAATTACCTATTATTGTTGTACGGGGTTCTCATCTCTGCAATCAATTCATTGATCAAGAAAAGATACTTGATGCAGGTATCTTTCATTATTAATGATAGAATTTGAGGATATTATGACTGATAAAGATGGATTCTTTTTCCCACTAAAAAAATTAGATTCAGAAGTCATTGCACAAATGGTACATTATCTATTGACATATACCCCCTCAAAACCTAAACAATAATGATTTATATATATTATAATTCTATCAAAGTTAGTATATTTATAATTATGAGAAGATAGGAACGGATAGTTACAGAGGAAAAAAATTTAACCCCATAGAGAGAGAAGAATAATGATGTGATTAATGTACTTTAATCTAAAAGGTCTGAAGATTAATCGCTTTTGAGAACAGATCTAATACAATTCTAATATGAGAGAAAAGAACCAAGGTTGAGCATAAAAATAAATGAAAATAATGAAAATGAAAAAGATAAAAATTAACCTTAGAAACATAATGAAATAAGTAATTAAAATATCAAATGTGCTAATCCAACACATCAAGAGCCTGTTTTAATGGTTGTACTTGATCCTAATTTAGGTCGCCATGAAAGAATTTTCTGTTAAGAATGCATAAGTGTAATGGAATCAAATAAAAAAACAATTGGAATAAAAAAAGTGATGGAAATAACCTAAGAAAATAATAAAAAGAAAAGGGAATATAGAGATATAATTGCTTAATAACATCTGAAAGAACTTGAATAGTTTAAATTCAACATAAATTAATTAAAGAGTTGTTTAAACAAAAACTTAGATGAAATGATGGAAAATGCAAATATGTGGATGAAAGATTTGTAGAACTTCAGAAAAGTAGAATATAATTTAGATACAGAAATATAATGGTTAATTAATTATGAATCAAAAATTGAAATAGAATAAATGGCTGATGAAATAAAACCTTTGAATATGAATTGGGTTTCCAAATTGAATAATAAATTAGAGTTGTTTTCTACATTTAAAGAATATTCCATTTGCATAAACATATTGAATAATTTAATTCAAAGGAATAAAAGCAGACACCAGGAAAAAAAAGAGTTGTTTAACCACTAATAAGGATAACAATACAATTCTCAACAACCCTAAAGATGCAACTTACAAAAACAATAAATTTAAGATTAGGGCGTAAAGAAAAATACTTGAGTCTTAAATAATTCATGAAAGATATATTATTTTATCCAAAATAATGAATCATAATTAATTTTACAAAAAATTCTACTTCTCAAGCAAAAATATTACAATAATGAAAATAGGGTTTAAATAAATTATATAATAAAAAGAAATGAAAAGTCAATAAGGATATCTATCAGAAGTCGACATAAATTAGAATCATAAAAAATACAGTAGTCGTTATAAAATGGTGAATGAGAAGCGTAATTCAATGTTAGTCTCATTGGTGCAACCTAATCGAAAAAATCTGAATAAATCATTTGTTCCTGAATTATAGGAGATGCCAATGAAATAACGAAGAAATAGTTATTAAGAGGGTATTTCAGGATAGAAAATGAGTCGATTAAATTGTCTCTACCCTCAAACTATTTGTATGCAACATGCTTTGTAGAAACCAAAGATAGACAATAAGGCTACACTGCGTAAGGCTGTGAAGAGAGCTTCGATCATGATGACAACAGTGAAATATTGGAAGGATCATTCTTACAAGAAAATCGAAGTTCCAGCAATGATTAAATCTATCCATACTAAAGATAATTGTTTATGTGATCGGAATGCATTAACAACTCGGAGTGTGAAAAAGAGTGAATTACCTCCAGTGCTTCTCAGTTAATATAGAATCAAAAACAACGAACGACTAATTCAATACAGTCGAGATAGAACTGCAGACAAGACTAAGTCAGTTAGTCATCATTTTTCAAATCTCTATACTCATTCAATCCCAGCTTTTTCTCCAAGATATAGCATCCAAAATGCTAATATCAGAATAAAATAGTGATCATAATATTGAATATATGTTAGACTCATTTTTATTTTAGAAAACTTTATAAATCCATTTCAATATTTTAAGCTTGACGTTTATACTCTGAATAATAACTCTAATTTGATATATCAACTGATTCGTTCTATTGTTCTGTTTGATTTACTAGGGATCTTTCACTTTGTTAAGATTGATGTATGATCAAATAACTCTGTAGGCTCTTGTTTTGCTCTTCTAAAAGACGATTGACGCCATTTGGAAACCTTTTTTACTCCAGTAATTGGATCTCTGGAATTTTTAATTAATTATGCATTGATTATTCAATTTGAGATGAATGAATACTTTATAAACCACTGTTCTGCTATAAAATTCCAGATTGATCCTGTTGCGAATTCAAAATAAAGTCAATCAGATTTCTCAATCCTGTTAAGTTTTCAATTACAATTTATTTTGTTATATTAGTACCTTAAGTCATGAGTGCAATGAAATTATTTAAACAATCGAAACAAATTCTATCTTCCTGAGTTTCTGTTTGTAAATTGAAATAATTCTCTATTATTGGTTAATATGATTCTCGTTATTATTTTATTGGACTCATTGTTACACTAAATGGCACTGAATACTCCTAGGCTTTTGATTACTTTACAGATATCCTTTGATTTAAGAACTGTGATCCAGTATTTAATCTTGAAAGAGCATTACAATTGCCATAATTGTTATAGTACATTATATATTATTATTTTTTAGTTGTTATTTATAAATATTCTTAGCTCTTTAATATAGTAGTTATATACGATTCAGTTAATTCTCATTTGATATTAATTTGAACTGATTATTTAAATGCCTTTAATTGTTTAAGTAAGTTATTCTACTTTTAATATGCAGTCTATATTATAAATATATATTAAAATTAATAAATCTGATGAGTGCTCCAATTAAGATAGTTATGTTAGGGGAAGGTTAGATTAGATGAAATAATCATTAGGTAGAGTAGGGAAGACTTGTTTGACTTTGAAATATTGTAAAGATTAATTCAATGAGAATCAGCAATCTTCTATTGATGCTACATTCTTTGAGAAGAGCGTAGATCTAGGTGGAGGCAAGAATATAACATTGGCCATTTGGGTATTTGTGCGATTTAATAATAGGATACTGCAGGACAAGAGATATTTCATGCCTTGACTACTGTTTATTATAGAGATGCATATGGGGCAGTGTTAGTTTATGATGTGACATATAAGGAATCATTTATGAAGGTAAAAGGACTTTATATAGGAACTTAGGTTGAGAAATGGGTCGAAGAATTAAGATCATTTGGAACTAAAGATATTTCTATTGTTGTTGCAGGTAACAAAAGTGACATGAAAAATCAGATGTAGATTGACAAGAATGAAGTGGAAGAGTACTGCAAGAAGATTGGAGCTAAGCATTTCTTTACTTCAGCCAAATCAGGTATTGGCATTAATGAGATGTTCAAGTCTTTGGGAGAGAGTAATACTTACATTCAATCATAGGTATCTCAATCAAAGTTCAAGCATAAGAAAGTAAAGGTAAGAAAAAGAAAGGGTTATAAATTAAAGATGTAAAAGACCCTAAGAAATAAAACTAAAAAAACGATGGATGTTGCTGAAATTTAATCAAAAATTTATTAAATATTATAATTTATTTTTATTTGCTTAAGACTTCTCATTAATTATTTCATATTCTAATAATATTTTCATCTCTTTTATTGGTTTATTTCATTCTATAATTAGGAGCAAAATATTTCATAAAATTTGTAAATTTGATCTTCATCATATCCTTAATTTATTTATTGATTTTACATGGTGCCTGTCTTTTTTGCATTATTAGAGGGATTAGTCGTATGCTATTTTTAATTAGGATAACCTGATATTTCGATTTGATCTTTACAACAATACATAAATCCAATTAGATTAGAAATATATGGTTTACCCTCTTTTTTTTATTTCATGTCATTGTTCACTAGAGTTTTAACTATTTCCATATCAATTTATCGAGTTTATGGACCTTTGATTTATTTTTAATATTCCATAAATAAATTGAAATAATTATGTAGACATAGTAATTGAAATAATAGATGTTACTTTTCAAAATTAATTGCCCATTTTATTTATTTGATTTTCTCATCATATTTATCCCAAAAAACAACTTCAGAGAAATGAGTTCTTATGTGGAAAGGTTATTTAAAAAGTGGAATATGATTACATTAACTTAAGCAATTGATAAAATCTATTAATTTTTCTTTCTCACAAATCCTTTTATCTTATTAATTATTAAGTTTTGAGTATTCATCACAATTTGATGAGGGGGTTTTTTAATTCAAATTTTAAACTTGGGCTACATTACTTTACCCGCCTATATTGATTATCTCTTGTTTTTTCATTTAATTAACTTATGGATTTTTTATTGGAAAATTTTCCTTTAATAACGCTTAAGTCATCTTATAATAATCACTAAAATATTATAATGATATACTTGGCTTTTAATTGAATTTCATTTTGATCAGGAACCCTATAAGATTTATTCATTCTTATTTATTCAATTTGATTATCGACATTTTATATTGAAGAAATCATTTTTTATAGCACTCCTTCATCAAATTTTGCTACTTAATTTGTTTTTTATAATGGAAACGACTCCCACTTAAACTCTTATTTTGCATATTATTATTTGTATTCTTTTAAGTATTTTGGTATGACATCGTCATTTTTTTAATGATCATTTTACAATTAATCATTATTGTCAATAATCTTTTCAAGTATTTTATAAGCTTTATTTCTTTCCTTTTATAAAAATTCAAACAACTAGGGTTATTCCTTGTATATCTATTATTAATCAATATGTATTGCATTTGATAAATTTAATTATAAAATTAATTTATTATTACTCTATGTAATCATGCTATGATTTGGATCATTTTTAAAATATTCAAGGACAGCTTCTCTTGAATATATTAAATTGATTAAGTTTTGTAAGTCTGAATAGATATAAAATTGAATTTCTGCTTATGCTTATGCTTATATTTAAGAATCTTTGAAAGTTTATTACTATAAGTTTTATTTATTATCAAAACGATTATTGGAATAAGATCCGATTTTTTAGTATTAATTCATAATAATATTTTGTTTATTTCTTACTCATTAGCTTTATATATATAGACAATAGAATAAAATTATATACTATTATTATTTAATTATACTTATTCAAATACAGATAATTGCAATTCTCAAATACTAAATAAAAACCTCCTTGTTAATTAATAACATTAATTGATTTAAAAGTATATTAACATTTGTTAATTTATTAAGTTGTTAAAATTTCGCTAAAAAGGATTTAAAATAATACAATCTAATGCCATTATTTATTTAGCTAATTTAATACAGTTCATTAACAGAAATGAAATGGTAAAATTTATTTACATTTGATTATTCCGAATTGAAAGGTATTTGAAATTTTCGATTACTCCTTTGGAATTAATTTATGGATATTGAACAATTATTTTTAATAAAAAAAGTAGAAAATTTTACCCTTCAAATATAAGATTATTCTTCATTAAGATTGAAAATCATTATTTTTGTGATATTTTTATAGATTTTCTCTTCATAATTCTGAAGTCTGTCCCTCTATTAAAATTAATTCAACCATCCTTTAATTTCTTTTTTACATTTTCGAAACTATATTTTATTATATCATTGGCTTCAATATATAATCCTTTATAGTTATTATTGTAATAACCCCATTAATATATTAAATAAAATTTCTGGGGCAGCTGGATTTTCATTCATAGATCTTTTACATGTAAAAATCTAAAGAGTATAAAATGATTTCCTAAAATTTCGAAAATGGCTGACTGGAGATGCTGTCTGTTAGAAGTGTATTATATTAGATAACTTATCTGAAATAAAAATTAACTAGAAAAAATTTATAGCAATCAGAAAGACAGCATTCTCAAAAAATTAAACGCTAAGAATTACTAAAAACAATAATTAAAATTAATAATCAGAAAGAAAAATAGAAGTGAATTAATGAAATTAGCATATTTCTCCAAACCCCTAAGATTTTAGAATTAATACAAATTCAATCAAAAGGATTTAGAAAAACCTTAGCTAACACTTTAAATAAGTTTAAACGGGAAAAGCCCTAAAACATCTATCATAATAAAAAGTATTGAGGGGATTAAGAAATCCTAATTGTGAAATTTTGGTTATCACTATACACATCCACACCACCCTAAAACTCACAAATATGAAATACTTTTGGAAATTACCTTTATAAAACAACATAGGAAAAATTTTAAACTTGATAAGAGTTATGGATGAATGCATTTAACATGATAAGGATCCGCTCTGGCATTAATAAAATTGTGACTAAAGAATATATAAAAATAAATTACAATAATGAAGGAAAAAAATCCTTGTAATACAAATTCTCAATCTGAATAAACTATTATTATTGTATGTAATTGTTTTTCTCTAAAACCTAATACAATATACAATGTGAATTCTAAAGGAAATTCTTCTCTCATAGATAAATTTGTGGTAAAACAGACAACATATTAAATCAAGTCTAAACTATCACTTTATTAATAATATAAAACAGGCTAATGACCATTGAAATTAAATGTATTTCAGAATTTATAACCAATTAAAAGTAGAGATTATGTATTTGTATTTAATTGAATTAAATTAAATAGAGTTTCTTTGGGTCTTGTAAATTTTGGCTTACAATACAAAAGCGAATTATTTATACTTTTATTGGATATATCAATATAGTCTTATATCCAATTTAAGGAATTAGAGAATTATATATTAATTAGCTGCTAGAGTCAACTAACAAAAAGGTTAAAGAGTAAATAGAGTTGTATTTGAACAATAATAAATCTACTAGTTTCTGAATTAACACATTGTGCCATAAATCTTCCAATCAAATCATTTTATGAACAGATATTGGATAATTTGAATAAAAATCAACTTTAGGACCTAAAGGATTTTAAGGAAATTTTAAAGCCTACTTTGCTGAGACCTGCTGACAACAAAGGAGTGAATTTTGAATAATTCAAATATATGTAGAGTTTTATAGAGAGTAAGTATCCAGAGGCTTCATCATGGTTTTCTCTAATAAGATACATAAAATACTAATGTTCGAGAGAACTTGCGTTTAGAAAATATAACATTAAATTTAAATTATTAAAAAACACCAGATACTAAAAATGAGCAACTTTAGGTATAAGATGTTGAATAGAAATAGCTACTCAAATAATTGAAAGTGGTTTGTTTAAAATAAAATAAGAAACCTCTTTCTAATGAAAAATTGTGATTATAAAATAAAATGATTAAATCTTTGATAAATTCAATTTCGCTTATCACTGACTCTTTAATACAATTCGTAAATATAACCACTATCTTGCCAAAAAATGCCTTGCTATTTCTAATTTTTTCTTATTAATTCTTAATTTTTTCTTAAATACTCAAAAAAATTTTTAATCTGCATCTTTAATTATTCTCTATTTTTCTGTATGCAAGTATTAAATTATGATATTTTCTGAATCTCATTAATTCTATTTGATTATGACTAATATTCCAAATATATGGAGATAAAATAATAAAATTTGCAGTGGAGTTCAAAATACTCAATATAAAGATATAGGTCTTTAATCCAATTTTATTATTAGTTATAATTTATTATTAATTCATCCTTTATTAAACTAATCCATTCTTGTAGTTTATTGTAACTATTACATTAATTTGTTTAATCATTAAAAAAACCTGAAAATATTAAATAATTAATTAATTCCTATTTTTCGTTAATAACATTATTTTATGTGCCATAGGAGGTTTGATTGCTAGGCATTGAATTCTCTTTTTTCATTTAATTAACTTATAGTTTTGATATTGGAAAGTTTTCCTTTAATTAATATGAAGTCTTCTTGTAATAATCACTAAAATATTATAATGATATACTTAGCTTTTAATTGAATTTCATTTGGATCAGGAACCCTATAAGATTTATTCATTCTTATTTATTGAATTTGATTATCGACATTTGATATTGATGAAATCATATTTTATAGTACTCCTTCATCAAATTTTGCTACTTAATTTGTGTCTTATAATGGAAACTAATCTTCTAACTTAAACTCTTATTTTGCATATCGTAATTTGTATTTTTGTAAATAATATGGTATGAAATAATCATTGTTTTAATTACTATTCAACAATTAATCATTATTGTCAATAATCTTTTCAAGTATTTCATAAGCTTTATTTCTTTCTTTTTATAAAAATTCAATCAATTAGGGTTATTCCTTGTATATCTATTATTACTCCGAGTGTATTGCATTTGATAAATTTAATTATAAAATTAATTTATTATTACTCTATGTAATCATGCCATGATTTGGATCATTTTTAAAATGCTCAAGGACAGCTTTTCTTGATTATATTAAATTGATTATGTTTTGTAAGTCCTAATAGATGTAATACTGAATTTCTGCTTATGCTTATGCTTATATTTAAGAATCTTTGAAAGTTTATTACTATAAGTTTTCGTTATTTTTATTATCAAAACGACTATTGGTTTATGATCCGTTCTTTATTGATGAATTCATTATAATATTGAATTTCTTTCTTACTCATAAACTTTATATATATTGACAATAGAATATAAATTATATACTATTATATAATTTTATATAAAGATTTATTATCTTATTTATATAAATTTACAAATGCAAATATTAAATAATAAAATTAACTTTTTATGTTTGAAGATGAGCATCTTTATATTCCTTCAAACAATCAGAACAATTTAACTTATAATAATTTAATGACTGGATGCTTGCTTATGTATATTCAATGTTTATTAGATCCCTAAAAACAATCTACAATATTAATAGTTTTTGTTGTGCGATAATAAACTGAATATTGCTTAATTTTTATTTTGTAATATATTATTTTACTGTATAAATAAATATGAAATTGATTGTTTATCTTTTCAGCTAGAAATAATATAGCAACATTCATTAATGTAATTTCTATGATTATCATAAAGTTTAAATCTTTCTTATACAATATAAAAATTTCTTATATAGCTATCAAGCAAATCTATTGATGCTACAATAGCAAAGGCAAAAAGTGGGATAACATCTTTATCCTTTTTGAACATAGGGCGAAAAGCTATGTCAATGTTAAGATATAATTAACAATTTATTATCAGTTACTAATAATTGACTTTATAAATATCTATTGATGATTTATCTAGTTATGGCAGTAGCATAAGCTGGCTTATATTTTAACCATGTTTATAAGACAATCATCTCTTTTGCAAGAGAAAAATAAAAAATACAACTGTAAATTTTGATTATCATAATAATTGTATTTTGGCTATCCTTTGGTTGATTCAGGTCTTGCAATCAATTTTATTATTTTCAAATAATTGATAAATCAACTGAAACTAAACTTTAAAAGGGAATAGAAACATGGCTATTCAATCATTTAATTAATGGTCTTATCGGAATTTTATAAAAAAACGGACATTTTGATTCAGAATAATAATGTATTTTGTATGATTGTAATTTAATTAGTAATCCAAATGAATGCTATATACCATTTAGCTAAATAAAATTTCATTAATAATTTTTATATGAAAATAATTTTCTTAGTAATCAATATGATTAGCTCTATCCTTTCATATTCGTTCAATAAACAATAAGAGATTTCATTGTACCCAACAGAAGGAGAATTTTATAAATACTATATTGATTAAAATATATTAGATTATGAATTAATATGCAAAATTGATCCTTAAATTCCAAACGTCCAAATTATGAATTAATGCGAAGAAATATCTCAAACACAAGGAAATAGTAAAATATTAAGTACATTATGATAGAATTTAAATCAATGTCATCAAACAATACACATTTCATTACTTTATCATATGAAAATGAAGTAACGCTGTATGAGTGGAAGAATTAAATGATTGAATAAATTGGGGAATCTGTGACAATTAATTCCTCATTTAATTGCTTTAGCATCAATTTGTATGGAGATTTTTCTATTTTAGCGGATTGTTATTAAAATAATGAATTCCTTTTGATTCAATTTAAGGATGAATAATCAATAATTGCTTATTAAAGTTAATCATCGATGCCTACTTCAACCAAAATGTAATCAATTATTAATGGAACCAGTGCTTTTTTAGTATATGCTTAGTATTTTGAAGAATATTCCATACTTTCACTGTTCTCATCATCCTTTCTCAACTAAAGTAGTTTAAATAATTAATTTATTGATTTTGACATCACAAATACAATAAGTCCTAATATTTATGCAATTACGTCTCAAGAGATATTCTAAATATCCATATCTCCACAATCTCAATTTTATTTAAAAAGTACTTTTAGTTAAGAGGATTTGACGAGTTTTACCATTATAAATGTCTATTTCGATTTAACTATTTATTCTTAATGTGATCAAATATTGTTGATGTATTATTTAACTTAAGAAGAAACATGCGTTATTTAGCTCTTAGGATGTTAAAATTAAATAATCTCGGCATAAAGTTAATAATGCGACTTTCCAACTGAGACTATTGTAAAGATTCTTTAAAATAGCTATTTTATTATAATTTAATTTGATGATAAAATATTTATTTATGAAAAACAATCTAATGGGTACTATATCTACCTATTAAGTCACTAAGGTAATTCCCTATTATATTTCAATTTTGATAATGAATTATTTTCATTTAATTAGCAAATAATAACTTATAAAATTTCATTTCCTTCCTTAGAAATCAATTTAACTAATTCAGAACCTACTGGAAATAATTATACATTTTTACTTATATGTCAGAATCTAGGATACCATACTGTTACGAACTCTAGAATTTATCTTTAAGTATTACCCAAGAATGATACAAATATATATGTAATGTTTAATGAAAATTTTCCTTAAAATCAAACTTCTTTGGAACTTAATATTACAAACAACTTTGATAGTTTTTCAGGATAATTATTACAATATAAACAAAATCCAGAGGGAATACCTTTAACTTTTACATTAATGACCCTGCAACAGGCTGGTCAAATCAATTCAAGATATTATTTAGTATAATCTCTGTAGATAAATTCGATTTAGATTTAATGGGTTACTTAATATTTAATAGGATATAATAATTATTCAATCGATATTTTATTTACCAGTTTCTATAACAGTGTATCTATCTACTAATTCTATTAACTATGTTCAATTAACATTAGTGTTGATGCTAGTTCTTTAAAAGTTGCTTATAGCATTTATCCTTAAATGATGATTATAGGACTCAGTGCTCATAATGCAATCTATTTATTTTAATACTATAATTCTACAAATAGTATAATTAGTTATTCAAATTATACTTTTAACTCAGAATTTTCAGATTTTTTAGTTACATACAATAATATTATCATACTAATTGCAAATTAATCAATTGAAATAATGACATTTGATTTTACAAGTACTTTTACTTTAAATTAATCATCGATAAATAATTTGTTCAATAATGTATAATTCAATCCGATATAAATAGTTGTGAATACATAATTATTGTCATCTTTATTATATATAAACAATGTAAATGAAGTGATAATTATTTCAATTGATTAAAATCGCATTCCAATACCAATTTCATTAATTAAAGTTAATTACACAATCAAATAGATAAATATCATTAATTAATAATTAATTTTATCGTATCTATGTGATAATGACCAAAAATTGTGCTTTTAAGTTTATAATGTGTAAAACCTACCAAATTACTATTTTGTAAAGAATCTCTATAGTGTGGATGTGGATAATACAGTAATAATATAATCAGATAACCTATTCTTATATGTTACTTTTAGTCATTATAAGGTCTATGTCTATAATCCTTCCTTGCCATATCATATGAGTTTATATCTAATGTTAAAATTAACTTCGCCAATTTAATGTGCTTAGGCAATTAAAAGCTTTTACTATTATTCGCCTCAATATCAATATCTATCATCCATGATTATTCTTTCAAACAATACAATTTTTCAACTTTAAAGAAAATAACAATTTAGGATATCCGTGGAATTTAACAATGAAGACTTTAACAATTCCTTAAAATACCCAGAATTTGTTTTTAATTATAATGTAACTTCATCATTAAATGAGAAAGCCTTATAATAGACTCCTAATTAAAGTATTGTTTTATATTCAAACTTCACAGTATTTTTGAATTAAAGAAATTTATCTATAAATCTAACAAAAGAAAATATAATTCCTGGTTCTAAAAATTTCTCATATCCAATGAATTTAATTCTTGATAGATAGGTTGGATTATGTGAATCAAAAAAATTAACTTAAACCAATAATTTGAACAAATATTGTAGTGTTACTCAATTAAATTATCAAAATTCTACTAGAATCCCCAATTATAGTAATTTCTCTTTAATTACTTCAATAAATAACGAATGTTTTGCTCTACAGAATAACTCTTTCATATAAACTGTTAATAGTGACTTAACTTACTTATCAAATTTAAGTTATTCAAATCTAAATTTTACCTAATGTCTAAATTCAGTATCTAATGGTTACACATTGTATTCAATATGCGAGAATAGAACTTCATAGTATTTGCTTAATTTTACTATAAATTGTTAAGGTAATATGACATTAAATGAAACTAAAAAATTACCCAAAATGTTTTAAAATATTTCCAAAATAAACACCATTATAAACCAAATTTTTATTTTAGGTGCATTGTAAAATTCATAATAATAATAATTGTATTGGCTTAATTAATCTAACAACAACTTATTGGAATTAGACAAACAGAATCGTGGAGTTTGTCAAGATTTTTCTATTGCATTGATACCAAATAGATTTCAAAATGATTAATTACAATAAATAAGTGTTTTATATATTTAGAGGTTCATAGTATATAGTAGAATGATGGTGATAAATGATTCAGTCATTGAAATAGGAAGTATAACTTTTATTGATATTTAATTTGCCTGCTTTTGTGAATATTTTTTACCAACTGAAATATAATATAATATGGTTTTAATTTTGCAAGCACAACCTAATATTTTAATGATACTTGTGAGCGATATTTATTTTAGTTTCATTGTTGAAGTAAGGTTACGATCATATTAAGAATTTAATCAAAATTATTACTATGGCATAGGCCTTAGGACTATCCCTAATTTTGGTAATTTAAATAATACAGGGAATTCTTTTTATTAGAATAGGGTTTTGATGCAATAATTTGCATAGAATAACGCATACATAAATGGAGTATATTTTTTGAATAATCTCTTCAATGATAATTTAAAGGTACCCATTTTAATGTAAGGTTCATTTAATTCGACAATATCTGAATATGCAATGATTTTAAGTTAACAATATGAAAATGGAACAGCCATATACTTTAATAACTAATCTATATATAATTACCCAATAGGTACTTAGAATGTAACATGTGTTGCTAATACAAAAAATAATTATATGAATATTTCTATATTTTGCTAAAATGAATTTTCAAATGGTACCTACAACATAATATTTTATCTGCCTCCTGAATTTCATTTTAACTTTGGTCCATCGGTTTATATGCTATTTTCCATTATTATTACACTCCTTATATTTTTCTACTTTAGATTTAGAAAAAGGACAAAAAGGGTTGGGTTTATTTATACAGAAGTCGAATTATGATATTATAGAAGTTTGAAATTGAATATAGTTATTATAATTATTATTCCTTTCTATTGTTCTTAGCTCTTAGACTATATTCGATTTCATAAATGTATTCTATCATTATTATTATTTAAGTTAAAAGTAATTAACATTTCATTAAATTATTATTATTTAAAAATATTAATTAAAATATATTCATTAGCATTCTAATGAAAAATATATGATATCAAAACTATTGAATCTCAATAATACTGGCGATTAGTAAACAAATATTTATTAATAATATCAGATGGCATGGAATTTAAAGGCTCTAAATATTTGATGAATTAATTTTAGTTATATTTTGGTTTACATTTAATTTTGATAATTTCATAATTTGATAAATCTTTATCATAATAAGCAAGTTATTATTATATCTAATTTATATCAATTAATACTAAAATAAAATGATATGATATGAATAACAACATCTTATCAGAAGTAATAATGTGAAAATCATAGATTAAAATACGCATTGTTATAAATATAATTAATAAATATAAAATAAATTTATTATAATTAACATAATATTAAAGATTATATTATTAATATAAAATGGGGGATTCCATAGAGTCTCCATCTTAAAGGCACATAAAGTAAGGGAAAGGACCTAAGAATTCAGTTCACTTTCAAGATATCAGTTAAATACACAAGAAGGACAGAAGCAAAATATTATAAAATGACACAGACAAATTTAAGTACTTATTCCAAATCCCAAACATCATTTCTGATCCTAAGTTAGTATAGCGAAGGAAGACTTTTGAGACGTTCACGAAGAATGCCAACTTAGATTTATATTATATGCACTTGAAGAAGGCATCAGGCATAGCAAGGAGCATATCTTAAAAGGCAGATTATAAGGAGGTGATAGCGAAAATACACAACAATAAGATGTAAGACTAATTCGTACATAAATTGCACAAGAACAAAGGATTCATATTGACAAATGAGTTGTGGTCAAATAAATTAGTAAGTTAAGTGTCTGATCAATCGAGACTCAAAGAGTTGTCATAAATGTTGCAATTGCAGAAGATTAAGTTGAATTCTGAAGAACAATTGTAGAACTATGAGCAATACTTTAAGCAGTTTGTGAAATCAAAATGTCAGAATGAAATGGAAGTAAGAAGAGGAGAGGTGTCGAAAGCATTCAATGACCTAGACGATTAAGCGACTCTGGATTAGACATATAAGGATAGCCGTGTCCTTTCGAGAAATCAAAGTGTTCCGATGAAGTAGACAGATCAAAGCTTTTTCTCTAGGGAGATAATGACAGCATAGGTGAGTAAGAAGAGAGGGGTTAATTCTTAGCATAGTTCAATTAAATTGGCTGAGTTGCTTAAGCAATCAAATGATGAAATACATTCGACTTAGGAGGTGGTAATAAAATTGAGGAGATTCACAAGGGAGGAAGCAGATTTGTAAGACAAACCCAAGAAGATTAGAATACGGAGATTGTTTGCTGAGCAACTCAATAATGTAATTAAGAATTCAAAGAAAATAAATTGATTTTATAGTTCATGTTATGATAATAATTTGGTGAATACTATTCAGAGATTGAGTGAATAGAATTGATAAATGATCAAATATATGCATCATGAATAGAAGTCTATGATAATTCCTAAGAACCAGACAAATTGTAACCCATAGTATGCCAGCCAGAGAGTGTCTTTGTGATTGTTCAAATTTTGAAATTTTTCATAAATGCTCAAATGCAATACAGCCAGAGGGACAAAGGTTAGCCAAGCCAGTATAGCTGAAAACACACTGCTTTGAATGGTGGACATGCTTAACAAACCTATAGGATTGATAATATGATTAACAGACCTGCAATTCCGAATAGGAACACTCTTCTGTTGATGTATTCCTTTTGATCTGGACCTTTTAAGAATGCATTAATAAGGAGAGTGACGTAGTGGAGTACGAATAAGATCAGGATGGCCACAGCAACAGCCAATCTTTTGGGAATAAATTCAGTCGTCTCTGTACTCATTAATAATAATAATCATTCAAGTTTTTGAAGAGGTCTTAAATTATTCCAGGGAGATGATTGTTCCAGATCTTACAAAACTGATTTTTATCAATGAGTTTCAATCTGTTAATGGGATGGATAACATTTTGATCTACTTCTTCTTCCTCGATTTGGGAGATCATTATCCGTTTGCCCTTGGAAGCTCTTTTGTGATTAATTACAATGGTTCTAAGTTTGGGTAGTCTGGATTACTCATTCTTATCCAATTACGACTTAAGTAGACTCGATCGAAGTTTAATCATGGTCAAAATGTCATTTTCTATAATTGAAGTATTTTTTTCTACTGAAAGAAGAGACAACAGGTTTGTACTAGTAATTACACCTTATCCTGATAAATCATATATCTAAAAACATAAGTTCAAGTATTGTTATCTGTCTAATTGTTACAAAGCAGTTATAAGCTATTCGTACATCTACAGTGTCAATGTATCTGGCACCTTAAGAACTTTATTTATTTGTTCCACCATGATCTGACTGTAGAATTCTCTCAAATATCTCAAAAGCTATCCTCGCTGCATTCGGTGTCCAACTCGATCGACATTAAGAATTCGATTGAAAGTGTTAACAGCAACGACTCTCTAATTTATGATTTTCTATCTTTGAGAATGGACTTCCTCTAATACAGGATCTGTGGGTCTCATCACCACATCAATCGTTTCCGATCTAATTTATTGTTTCTCCACTCTTGGCTTCGTTTTTTCAAATGACTTGGATATTCTATCAGAACTTGTAGGAGACTTCTTTTTGGTGTTTTAAGGATGGATTCTAGAGTATTGCTGAATGAGAGTGGCTTGAAACGCATAAATTTATATCAATACCATAGAGATTATGGCGATATGCATTACTTGTTATATACTCAATTTAATTCATTAATCCTATCAAGTTTGTTCAGTTTCTAATTTAAACATAATAATTATATCATTTATGCATGATGCCAAACTCAAAATCCCTCTCTAAACCACACTAATTCATCTCCATTGTTATCCTATATTGGAACAGTTTAACTACTTGATTTCATCTCTTATGCTTCTTACTTTAATGCCTATCCAAACTCAATTTAATTTAAATTTATAATGTCAAAAATCTTTAGAATCGTATTCCTATCATTTTATTGTTCTACCCATCTACTAAATAGGATATCTAAACTATTTCTGTTATTTGGAATTATTCATTATTTTTTGATATTATTTGTAAACCTTCATGATTACTATCACGAGTACATTATTCATATATATACAATATATTCATGATTATTGCCAACAATACTTTCTATAATTTTTATTCAAATATATTGGAGGGAACACAATTCTCTCTCTTTATCCATATATGAAGTGGTTCACCATTATTCTAAACAAGACTGATAACAATATCTGCTCTAGTGATTATTCTCTCTCAAATACTTTAATTTAAGAAAATGAGAAAAAATTCGAAAAATTGTTCAACTTGATGATTCTGGAATTCACATTCTCTCATTCTATTTTAGACCTGAATCTTTAACATTAACTATAATTTAAATAGGAATGATGGATGCGAAATATTCATCAAAGATTACCATTATGGCGATGTAGATATACATATAACTAAATCAATTAAAAAAATCCTTTGGGATTCTTCCGATCCCTACACTAATTTAACTAGATATTGGTGATGGCATTCGTGTTCCAGTATCCATAAGTAGTAATTCAAGCAGATTATTTTATTTGATCTTCTAAAATTACACACACTTGTTTTTGACAAGCACTTGTGATTGTTAGGTGTATTGGGAAGTATTGCGTTTTCTTTGGGATGTAGCACGAGCAGAATTTGGTCGATTTTGAATTTAAATTTAATTCATAATAAATATCAAAGTTGATCACGAACTTTTAGGTATGCTTGTAAATCAAAATCAGGATCATCAAATTATTCTTAAAATTACAATTCTATTTCATTACCTTCCTCTTGTAGATCTTCCTATTGCTCATCACTACTCGTGGAATCTGATCCTTAATCCTCTTCTGGCTAGTAGTCTTGATCATGATCATCATCATTTAATTCTTGTGATTATTGGAAAAATTATTAAGTTTGGATCTATAACGGTGGTTAATCGAACACTGTTTTCTACACAACCATTTATTGTTGATTTATCAAATTAGTTCCCACGAACCAAAATTGGTTTTAGGGATTTTAATATTATTATGGGTGATTAATAGTATTTGGTGGCACTGTGTAGACCTATTGATTATGGGAAGGAGTATAGAACATTGGATTCTAAAAGTAACCTGTGGATTAAGCCTGAGAACTCTCGTTTTCAAATTCCATAAGCGCGAAATTTTATAAATATTTTAATGATTATTTTAAATACTGCCTGAATAAATTTAGACACCAAATATTTAAAATTAAATACAAATAGAATAATACTCTTATCATTAACAATTAAGATATCTATATAAAAATCAATATTGTTTATCCGCATACAACCTTGGATCATAAAAGGCAATGTCTATCTCTCTCCCATCATACTTTTTATTTTACAACAGAATAATAGCAATCTTAGCAAATTGCTCATTCTCAAACTCAACAAAAACCTTTCCTATGCCTTCCGAATACCCATCCTTCTTCCTTGGCACCACCATACTAATCAATCTGCCAATTTTTTCAATCTCTTTTTTTAAATCCTTAACGATAAAATTATATTCATAATCATCCTCAATATTTTTGATTCTGACTGCATTGTTAATCACCACTACACTACTCACTTTCATTTAATTGATCTATTATAATTTGGCTTCGAAAGCTGATTGCTCACCCAAAGTAATAGTGTCGATAATATAATCCTGAGTTGGAGTTGGCAATTGAGCATTCTTCTTAACCTGCAACAACCTGCCACCAATGACTTTGTTATTCAACCCATTTACACAATTCTGCGTTTCTAAATCAGTTTCAAATTCGCAGAATGCAAAACCCTTACAAACATTTTTTATGTCTCTAACAACATTTAATGATTTCAAATTGCCATATTCACTCAGAATGTTAGCCAAAGCATCATTGTCAGTGTCAGGTGCTAATCCACAAACAAAGAGTTTCTATGCAGGTTCTTTGGGTTGAATCTTGGGTACTTCCCTTTCCCCCTCAATACGTGGACTGATTTCATAATCTTTGACTCTCTTGAATTTGAGTGGCTTGCCTTGATAATTGATGGTGTCTATTTGTAATGCTGCTTCCGTTTCTTCGATGCTTCTGAATTACACGAAACAATATTTCTGACCTGGCTGTAATTGCACTTGTATCACTGGATCTCCGGGATCAAGCACTGCTCCGTGAGATTCCATCTATTGTCTTATGTAATTGTGGAGATGATCCTTATCGACATTATCTGGCAGATTCCCCAAATAGAGTCGACTATTTTAATCCAATTATATACACTGCATGAGGATAGTTTTTATGCAGATGTTGAGGTACTTTATAAGCTCCACTCTCACTCTTCTTAAAGGATGACAATTGCGGCAGAGTCGTAGGCTGAGGTGGTTGAGGTGGAGGCTCAGGAGGCTTCACTTTCTTTAATATTGGGATTTCCTATTTTTCTGGTCTTGGTCGATTTCTTTAAGAATATCATAATCCACTCTTACTTGTATTTCTTGGATATCTCTAACAGCTGTTCTAAATCACTGCTGTCAGATTCGTCCACCTTCTTTTTTAATTTCTTTTTATCCATTATTAATATTAATGCTTTTTCATGAATTATGAAAATATTGGCATCAGCTTCCAAATTGTATTATTATAAACTGCCATATTACTTCTTTTCAAAAGATTATCATTTATATTTATATTATTTTATGTATGTCTCTAATAAGGGAGAACTAAATCGATTCACCTTGGATGTCAACCTCCATGAAGCAGACGTACTCTCCAGAGTCAATTACATCAACACCACCATTCTGGCTAGAAATCCAATTGAAAAGTAAAATCTCTCAATCTATTCAACCAAGACTGGAAGAGCAAAAACTCTTTTTCGACCCAACCAGTCTTGGCAGGTATAAGAATTATCGAGGAGCATCGTCCAAGATAGCCAATTACATCAAGAATCTTGATCCCATAGTGAGAGCAGCCTTTGTCGTAGAGAGGTCTCCGCCTTCTATCAGATATAACTCCTCTCGCAACCCTAAAGCACAAGAGAAACTTAAACAGAAGATTGATAAATTGAACAATTTCCAAAATGATGATTCCGGCATTAAATACTTTAATCAACATCGTCGCAGTTGCAGTCCAAGATTAAAGTTACCTGCTGTCTCTAAATACCACAAAAACCCTCCCAAAATGCTAGTAAATTCATACGAATCCAGAACTATCGATGCAGATAGCACATTGTCTCATTCTGTACATAACCATTGAATTCATCATTTTTATGAACAAACTCAACACCCTATCACTATTAATTTCATGTTTTAATTTTACATCAAATGACAAAATGTTCTCGCATTCAAGAGAAATTGTCTTAAGAGTTCTAAATTCTATTTTTAAATTTATAATAAATTTATATCTTAAGCTACATAAATCATAATAATATTTTCATACTCGAAATTAATGTTTATCAAATAGAATGTCATTTCATACTTATAGAGAACTAATTCATTAACTTTCTGACTCAAACATTTATTTGAAACGAGTAGATATGTTCTGAGAAAATGCTATGTTAATCGAGATCCCAATAATATTCTATTCTTCAGACTTGAACCTTTAAATAAAACAAAATAATCTCTTGATAACAAGTAGAAAATTATGAAAATTAATATTACTCACAACTTAATTCCATTTAAAAGATTAACATCATACTATTTACTATAACAGCCATACATTTGTTATGTAATATTTTTAATATTTTTGTATATTTAATACTCTTTAGAAAACTTCACGTCTTTTTTTATAATATTTTGAATTGTTCCAAGAGTTTGATGACATACATACATACATACATAAAAATTGCATATATTAAATAAAAAATGAATTATATTATTTTATTTATATAAATGTTAGAATATTTTAAAATTATAATTTTTCTCTTTATTTTTTTTAGATCCTCTATTCCCCCAAGATTTAATAGATTTGTATTAATTATAATGCATAAAAATATATTTAAATTTTCTAATGAGGAATGGTTTTGTGAGTGCTTAGTCGAATAGTATATAAAGAGGTGAAATTAATAATATTTGTATAGAAGATATAAATAATTATTTGTAAAATATCATATGGGTTCTTAAGAGAGTAAACAGGAAGGATTAATATAGGACTCGCGATATGGGAAGGCTACATTGATTAGGAAATATAATTAGATTTGTGCAACGAGGAAAGTATTCATTTAGGATGGAAGTCAACATGATGAATTTGTGAAGAGAGTAAAGATTGAGCATCCAAATTTAGTGAAAATATTGGAGAGCGGAATACAGAAGGAACAGGAATTGTGTACTACTTATCACACGATGTATATAATAAGTGAATATTATTCTACTTCATTTCATAAGGAGATTGCAAACAGAAGAGGTAGAGGAGCATTTTGGACAGAATAGGAACTATGGAACTAATTGCTAGGACTAGTGGATGTACTATTATATTTAATAATGAAGTTGTTGATGAAAATGCAAGAAGCTCATTTGGTTCATTAGAATATAAGGCCATTGACTATTAGTTACATTAATGAAAACACTTTAAAACTGTGTGATAATTTATTTCAATCTACTGCATTTCAAATGGCTTAATAGAATCCAGAGAATTAGAAAATTTTTGAATTGTCACCAAAGTTATTGGAAGCAATCAATTAGAACAATCAATTCCCTAGGCATAATCTATTTAAGAGTGATGTGTGGAGTCTGGGAATGTGCATATTATAGGCCAGTCTGTTGGATCATTGTCGAGATTGTTTTGAGTAAGATAAATATCAATGTTATTAGCTTTGAAAGAGGACATGTTGATGTGTCTCGGAAACTGGCTCTATTGAACAAGAATTATTCAATTAAGTATGAGTAAGTAATTGTGGCCATGCTATCAGTGGATGAAGAATCCAGACCTGATTTTAAATAATTAATGAACTTCATGAAAGGTAATCCAGATGCAGGAATCTCCAAATTCCTGGAGGACTCGGTGATTCATAGTTCGCGTATATGTTTAGATACCAAATCTCCTATGAGTTTAAAGGAAGACAGTTTACCAGAGCCATTGAATCAATTGAGAGAACAAATTGAAAGCAAACCCACCAAAAATATGGTTGAATTAGAGGAATTAAGGATCAAACCAAAGATTGTGATTAAGAAGACTAAAAAGAAGGATTTGGGATTTTATAATTATTAGGAACAAATGGTCATAAGAGATCCCAGCAAATCAGCTATATAATAATAGAACTTATATAGTTACACTTCAGTTGATTATTCATCCAATAAAAAGTTAGTGAATTCCTCACATTAATTTACTAATCCTTCCCCATAAACCTAATAATTTAATGATAAGGAGAAGATAGAATAGTTACTTGGATATGGGATGTAATCATATTCCATAGATTCTCTTATTATGCCATCTATATCTATAAAACCCTAGATATCCTTAGTGGAATCTTCCAAGCCTTTTTCCTCTGAAACTAGTAAAACTACATAACAATCAAATCCTCAAGTAATCACCATAGATACTCACCCATCTTGTAATAGTACTCCTGTGAGTTATACTGAAATACCAATTAGTTATGTAGCGAAGAAGGACATAAATTATAGATAAGAAATGGAGTAGATGATTGAGTTGAATAGATCGAGATGTTTCAAAACTGAACAATATTAAGATGGATCATCGTATGTAGGAGAAATGTATAATTAATTAAGAGATGGATTTGGAAAATATCAATTCGTAGAAGGTGGTTATTATGAAGGATAGTGGAAATAGAATAAAATGCATGGTTATGGAACTCTATTCTATGGAGTTGGATAAAAAGCATATGAAGGACAATTTGAAAATGATTAATTCTCCGGGTTTGGCACGTTGTACAATAAGGAACCAACCAAACTGGATACTCCATTTGATTGCTCTAATTTTGATCTTATTGGGAAGTAAGACTGAATGATAACTAATTAGTTATTGGGTCAAGTATGTTGGCAATTTTTAGAATGAGTTGAAGGATGGTTAAGGAGCATTATACTTATCAAATGATGAATGTTACAAGGGAGAATTCTATCAAGATTATGTTGATGGTCATGGCACTTTTGGTTCAATTATTGGAGTTTGGCGTAAAAATTAATTGATTAAATGATATAACATAGTTTTGTTTTCAAATTTGTTCTTCCTCTTCTTTCAATTTCACCAACTCTTATTATTCTAATTACCTTCTCTTCACGCCGTTCTTTGCCCTTTAACTCAAGAGACAGTAGAATGTTAAGCACATCAAAACAAATGGGATTACTATATGTTTCAAGTAAGGAGTATTCTATTGTGACTACTTAAATTGATCTTAGCAATTGTATTTGGAGATGAATAATTTCTAATTGTTTTAATCAATAGTAATCAATTATTAAGTTAAAAATGGCAATCCCAACTTTATACGATTGATCTTTGATCTGTAAAATGTAACAATCTCTCTTCCATCTATTAGTCTATAAGAGTAAGCATCCTTTTCCAATCTAATCTTCTCATCCTTTTCAAAAATCAACTCAATCGTCGGCAATCCTCTTGATTTATCCTTCACGATCAAATACTTTCCTTCCTCCTCTACGCCATACTCTTACAGATAATCTCTCATCATTATATATTCCTCTTCTGGCAATAAGATAAAAGGTTCCTTACTATCAACATAAGTGATATTGCCATATGTATCCACAACCATCTCATCATTTACTTTGATCATTCTCAAATCTACTTGGTAATTGGATTCGTTTGCCTTATACTGCAATTCGCTCAAATTGGGGTTCTTAAATTCTCTTGAAACGAACCCTCTTGTATAACCAAAACAAATGTGAAACACCTTTGACACAAATGGATTCTGTGGGTACCTAGCTTTCATTATTTATATATACACATACCTCCCCTTTGTAATCCCAATCCCAAAATTTCAGATTCATTGGTGCTAGTGTATATGATTGGTTCTGTTTCCTCTTCATTAAAAATGTCCACCAAGGTGATTTCCGATGATATCAATTAAGAATCTTGAACAATACAATCAGGAGAGCAATGTTGGCATTATATTTGTTCTCCAAATGGAGCTGAATTGCATCTGATTTTATCTCCAGCCTTACTTAAATAGCTCATTTCAGAATTCAAATCAACTGTCAACGAACCTGATTCATATTCTAATTGAAAATTTTGAGTTGCCTGTATTTGAGATATGGGATAAACACGAGATGCTAAAGTACTTGTTATAAAAAACAAAATTATCATTTATTATTAATAAAAGTTGTCAAATTGTATTCAATAAATTATGAACAAAATCAATCTCACATATGCATTTTAGAAAACCTATTATTAAATTAGTAAAATTTTTGATGATCGAACATAAAAGTGAACTTCATTGCTCTGGAAATCATTCAAACGCCGATATTATAATGGTCTCCTATGATCCATCTCTTAAAAGGAATTAGAGATTGCTTTGTCAAAAATGCCTTGATTCTCTTCAAGTATCAACTAAAGTAGAGGGATTCAATAAAACTCTGTCCACTATTCAAGAAAATCATTAAAACAGAGTCAATTCATAGTAATTCCTAATAGAGAAATCTATACAGTTTATTGAACCTCTATAATAAGAAATCTAATCTATTAGAGATAAGTTTGTGAATATTCTAGATACCATCATCAAATTCACTGCTGATTGGAAGATGGAGTTATAACAAATTTCCAAGAAACCAATGGTTCTTAGTTTCTTTGCTGAATTAGAATCATTAGTGTATAGATAATAGGATAATATGTAATAAGTGATATTTGATCAAATAAACAAATTGAATCAAACATACTCAAAATCTATCATCAACTAATTGCCAATAATTAAGGAAGACCCATTCAAAGAAATAGAATTAAAATTGAACAATTCTGAAAAAATGCTGAACAATGAATTTCTTCAATTTGATTTTAATGTCTAAATTAAAAATAATAAAAAAAGTCCAATTTCAATAAACTTGAAGGAGATTAAAAGAGTCGAGTCAGAAAAAGGAATATCGCATATTATTTTTGATAAGACAGGATAGATGATGATTACAATCAATGAAGGTAAAATAGGAGTCTGGAAATTTGCTAGTGGCAATTTGGAATAGTAAGCTTCTTGGGTTGCTCACTAATCAGATATTAAGTGTGCAATTCTATCATGCAATTAAAATCCTTACATTCTAACAGCTGCAGACATGACAATTAAAATTTCCTTAAGAATTAATGAAATGTATTGGAAAAGTGATTTCGAATCTTAAAAACTTGACAATCACATAGGTTGCATGATTATTTCCAGAAATGAGGATTACCTCTTTACTAGTTGTGAAAATGTTATAAGCATTTGGAGACTTAATTATACGCAAAAGAAATGGTTGACTTTTTAATATTCTTTGAAATAACACAAATGGGCAATAAATGCTATGAGTATTAATAAATCTGAAAATAAATTGGTATCATGTAGTAAAAATAAATAACTCATCATTTGGGGTTTAAATAAAAATAATCAATGGGAATACAAATATGATGTTAAATAATCAATTTTAGATATTGGGAATGCTCTCTATTTTCTAAAAGATTCTTAGTTTATTTTACTTTCAGGAGAGTTGGATACTCAAGATAATGTTTATGTATATGAAGAATAGAATGAACAATTTTAAGAGGTGTTAAAAAAGACTCTTAAATTACCAAAGATCAAAGGGGATTCCTCCATTTCACCAATAGTGTATATAGATTAATAGTAGAACATACTCTTAATTTCATAAAAAAACGATCTCTATTTAATATTAGAAAAGAGTGACGGAAGCTTTTATATAATTAAACAAATTAACAGAATCATAGATATTCATTAGTAATCTCAAAGTTTAGCTTAGGATGGAAAATACTTAGTTTATAGTAAATATGATAATAGAGACAATCGAAACTATTTAGTAGTAAACGAGATATAATACTGATAACTGGTTTCATATTGAATTAATAAATTACCAAAGCATAATTCTAATATAATTACATGATTTTCTGTCTACATGTAAATCTCTTGATTCTACTTGGTTTGGAATTAAATTTAAATGTTCTTTAAACCCAAACCTAATATATTATATATAATAAACTTGTATTCTAATAGATATAACTGTCTCTTCTAAAGCGCATTCTGATAGAGTATTTTGACATAATCTTGAATTAGGCACATCAAATTCATATGTCAGAAGCATTCATATCAGATGATAAACATAATATAGTTAGGAATCCCTATAACAAGACCTAATTACAAAGTTTTAGGATTTGATAAAAAAATATCAAATTAATTCTAATTAAGCAAACTTATTTTATTAATATGATTGCAAAGAAATTTTTAATTAATATATGTCAATGAAAAGTTGAAATATATACGTACAATAAAGGATGAAGAGAAAATAAGTAATGAAGTGACCTGCAAAAAAAGATAGATTTTCAATGAATACATTAAATTTTATTGAGCAAGCAAATTTAAAAGAGAATCAAGGTATTATTCTTTTTTAAACGTATATGGAAATGCATAAAATATATTATAATTAATTAAACAATAATTATTAATCATAATTCTATTAAATAAAATCAATAATTAGATCTACTTATCAACCATTCGATTCAATGACTTCTAAAATAGTTTTAGTTTGAGTATAAGATGACACTAGTTGAATAAAGGTAAAAAGATTTTTTGCTCATTATTTATTCTGGTATAAATAAATGGAAAACTAGGCCAGAATTCATCAGAAAGTAATAAATCTTAGAATATTTAGTAAATATCTACTTTGCCACAATCCAATATTATTATCATTCTAATTTAATGAGCAATAATACGAACAATGATTTAGCGGATTAGAATACTTCACAATAAAGTTTCAGCCCATAGCCACTTGAGACATCAAAAGGAATTGCAGAGAATACAAATCAATATAAATGTTTTTAATCTCTCATATATTTTAGATTCAACTGATTTTTAGGATCCTTATGTAAAAGGTCTATTTTTCAAGAATTTGTATTGCTGTTTGATAGGACAGTTCCTCTACAACTTACTTATGATTATTCTAACATTTAGTGCAGGAATGATAAATTGGTTGGTGACTGAAGATGATTGTAATTAAAGATCCAGTAGAGAAGAAGAAAATTGTGTAGTAACACCAAAATGGTTGTTTTATTTTTCTTTAGTTGTCTCAATAATATTGTCATTCACAATATATTTTGGAGGAAGCGCTGTAAGAAAAGTAATATCAAATTATCTTATGATAGGGTCCCATAAAAATCCTAATATAAATTTTCTACCCAATATTTTATGGATTTACATTTTCGTCTATATTCGCTTTTATGATTTACAATATGCATCCATTAGGGATTTGGGAAACATTGAGTAGTATGTTTCTAATCTTGATATTTTTAAATATTGCTTATTGCGGCAAAAGAGAGGTTTCTTGCCTATGTATAAATAATTTCATATTTTATAGGTAAAACGATTATTATTATTGTCCCACCAATATTGTTATCAGTATTTTTTTTATCGTTCAAAGCAGTTTTATATGGGATCTTTTTGGAAGGTACAATTATCAGTATGTTTTATGGATTCTATTTAATTTTGGAAGCAAGCTTAATTCTTAAAAGCCGAGTAAAATTTCCTTAAATATTATTTAGAGACTAAATTTATAACCTGAAGACTATTAGATCGCATCTTTGTTACTTAATGGTCTTCTCGTTCAACCATTAGTAAGAGTAGCTGATATAATACTTAGTATTGTAATGTGAAAAATTATAATAAATAAGATTACATTAAAAAATAACAATCTTTAAATAGCATCATTTATTCAAAGTTTAATTAATTGAATCTTTTCTATTAGTGAATTAAGACTTTGAAATATACTTCATTAAAATATTAATTGTGATTTCCATTAGGCTTTATTTGGTTCTTATTCAATCCACGGGTGTCATGTTACTTTTGACTATGATATATAAATACTCCTAAATTTGAATTGAGTAAGATCTTATATGTAAGGAATGAATGCAGTTTTCATAGGATAATTGCTACTAATTAATATATCTTCATTAAATTGCTAACAATATGGCAAGCAAATAAAATGGATGGATACCAAATTAATAATAATCTTGTAATATAAACAAAGTTAATTCTAGTAGTTTTCCAGTTTTATCCATTTTGTTTTTTCCTAGAGTTAGTTTTCCTTATTAAGATAATCATATAATATCATAGTTTTTTAATATAAGAATTTTGAAGAGAATCTAACCTTTTTTTTCTTTGAACTTGATTAGTTTCAAAATGTAGCTTTTCTCTCACTATTTGAAGTGTCTCAACAAGATGATAACTTCTTATTTTATCTAAATTTATCCAACACTGATTGCTAAAATAAAACCAGCCCAACTGGCTTCAACTAAAATAGATTTTTCTAATATTATTATTTTTAAGGTGAATTTATCAATTGAAATTCTTGATTATAGTTCTGTCAATTTTTTTAATGTAATAGTTTATAACTATGGAGCATAATATACATTACTATTAAAGGATGCAATTAATGATTCAAAAATTTACATTAATAAGTCGCTATTAAAAAATAATCATGCACCTTAAAGTTAATTAATTTCAGTTGTCGATGCTATAATCTGGTATAGATAGCATCACTCAGACATCGTATAAACTATACATAAATAATACATATATTGTGTTATAAATTTCTTATTAATATTATTGTGTTATAAAAAAAGTAAATCCTTTTATTCAAATATAATATCTTTAATAATAACGTATTTAATTAAAGAAATACTAATTTGTATTTAGATTTTTAGATGAAATTAAGATATTTATAGAAATACCTAAAGATGTTAAGTGAAAACTATTTGCACAATTTTCTACATTATGAAAGATTAGTTATAATAAAATTGTATCAACATTACTGCCTGATTGATGAGCTATTTACAGCTTTAATCTAGAAAGAATTAAAAATGATTTTGAGCATAATATGAGTTTTTATCATCTTTCAATAATAATGTTATGTTGAATTCTAAAAGTTAATTATATATGTAATCTTGGATATCAGTATATTTGAAGAAATTCATCATTAAGAATTGAATTTATAAAATAAAATACATAACTAATTAAAAATAATTGTATTTGTAATTTAAATTATTTTATTGGTTTTCAAACTATTTCATAAAGCTCTCAAAGATAATTAGTTTAAATTTGTAATATTGATTTAATATTATTTTATAATTCTTCTTGTGTAATAATTCTAATTGGTGAATGAGCATTATCAAAAAGTTAAATATTTTATTTTTAGGATACATAATAATAATTCAAATTGTAACAATCCAAGTTTTATTTTTCATAGGTCCAACCTGGTCTTCGTTATAATTTTATTGAGATTATTCCTGGGTGTATGAGTCTGTCCATTCTAAAAATAGATTATATAAATATATTACTAAATCTATTTAATTGCCAATTCTTTAATTCTTAATTTCCGGTTAAGATAGTTTGCATGAATCCTATGCCTGCTAGAAAATTAAGTTTTTAGTTTCCGTCTTATCTAAAATTGTGTACTCTAACTAAATATTAATTCTCATTTATCCAAGTTTCAATATAGAATTTGGATAAATTATCATCAGCTTGTTTTTCATCCAATACACTATGAATTAAAAAAGAGGAGCAATATATTTATAGAGATAATATGATGTATTATTGGATTAATCATTAGTGGTGGTGGATCATACAACTCTTAAGGTAAGTGATATTTTGAAATAGAAGATCAATGCATTTCAATATATCCATGCTAAAAAAAAAGATTGCTCAAAACATAATGAACTATTAAAGTGTTGAAATATATTAGGGAGAGGTTTTGGTTTGACCCCAATATTTGAGTATAGAAGAGAAAAAAAGGGAATACGAAGAACTCTTGATAATTTGCTCTTTAAATCTTGAATATAATCTTAATGCAAGAAATGCCATTGGAAAACCTCCCTTTCAAACTTCAAGAGATAAAAATTCTTAGTTATTATTTCAAATTTAGTCTAAATTCTGATATTCAGTATTCTAACTTTGATTATGCTAAAAGAATCTAACAATTTTTATTTTGTATTTGCACTTGATAGCTTATAAAAATAAATTAAAAAAACACAAAGAATTAAGAAAATGATTAATATTTTCAAAAGAAATGTTAACTCATTTTTTAAATAGTGAGATTCTAAACGTAATTTTAATAGTAATCTAGAAGTTTTTATCTATCCCACCAAAGACGAGTAAATTAATAGGAAGGAATGCATTTAACTTTCTTATAGAATGTTTTATCCCAAGGTTTTTTAGATAGAAATATGGCTTAAGATTTGGGGTTTACGATTTCTTTGGGGCATTAGACACTTTTTTCTTTCAATTTTTTAATTTGACATAATTTCATATTGAATAGCCTTAAGTTATATTAAAAAGAGTGCTTTAAGCTTTAGATTAGCAGAATAACTGCCCCAGACTCTGTTATCCTGTTGATTTTATGTTGTGTTCTTTTTTAAAAGTGATCTTCTAAGTTCGACAGCATTTCTGTTTTTCTAAATGAACAGCTGATCTGGAGATCTTTAATAAGTCTTCTTCATCTTAAAAATTATTCTACATTTTGAATTTTATTGTTTAACCATACACTCAGCCTAAGAAATTTACTTCATTGCAGTCAATCTAATTTCTCTCTTTATTAATTCATACAAATTATTCATTAAATTCTATTAATTTCTTAATTAAATAAATTCTCTGGAAAATTTCACATTCTCAGGATTTCAAACTCTTAATGATTATTTGAATATCTTATATTTTAAATTTTTATATATTTTATTTCTGAAATAAACTAGGTCTATTAAAAAATGTTATTATGAGTTAAACTTATCTTTAAAATAGTTAAAGTTGCATGACTCTTGTTTATTTTTTAAGGTTGAAGTCTCATCATACTTAAACAAAATCCCATTCACAATAACCTTATTTATTGAAAATTCTTTATTACGACCTATCCTAATGACTTTCAAATTATAGTAATATTAAAATCTAAAGATTAAACATAAGGTTCAATTATTAGGGAAAAGCATACTCTTGATTATTATGATATAAAAAAAATTAAATTTCAGGTCCAAAGAATCTAGTTAAATTAATCATTCAGTTTTAATGTACTATTAAAAATTTAATGAATACTTAGATTTTCAAAGTAACTAATGAATATTTGATTTTATCATTTTGTTTCTTTTAGGTTCAAAAACATAATAAAAAAAGAAGGTTGATAATTTTCTGCATATTGCAGGTGCACTAAAATTAGAATTATATGCTGAAGAATGAGATCTTTGAAATATGAATAAATATTGAATAAATATGATAAATCAATTAGATTCCGGACTCAAACTATGTTCATAACAGTTTTGCAATGCTTGTACGAAGATTCCACATATTGCAACAAATTCGGCCACAGGGTAATTAAAAGTAAAATCAATTTTTCCATACTAAAAGAATATATCTTATTTACTACCACATCATCTGAAGACTAACCGAAACCCATACCAATAGTAATGAGAGTTTAACCAAAAACAAGACAACATAGTTATGCCCAAAATACTCCTGTGTTCTCTTTGCAGGTTCTGAATAATCCAAGCAAAAAGGAAAGTATGAATAGAGATCCTCCACCTATGGTTAGTGCAAGGTAGGTAGAATAGTCATCGAATTTAAATTCCTCGCTGTTTTCATTGATTTATTGAACTTAATAACAATATTGAGACATCCAACAACAAATGTAGAGACACATGGAGAAGTTACTCAAGAATGCACTAATGGTATTAGATGAATAACTTACTAATGTTTGGGCGCCCTAAGTTGATTAGAATATAACTTACATTGTTTTTGCAGAATGTTAAATATAAATATAAAAATTAATATCAATACTGTGATGCAATTTTGGATTTCTTCTGAGATTCCGTAAAGTTTAACTTCATTCTAGAAAGTTTTTCTTTTTGTTAATGAATTTCCACTCTCAACTCCTCTATGGTTTTATCAGCTCTTTCGTTGATTGGAGATTTGTTAGGTGTTCGCAGAGTAGGAGATCCATAATTTGGTGGTTTTTAATAAGTATCTAAGTAAATAACTGAATATCTACACTATTGTTTTATCATATTGGGAGATCGATTGAATCCTTAACTAGAAGATAGAGAATGTTTAAGGAAAACATGGGATTAATCAACTTTCTCGTTTTTTTATACCAAAACCTCTAATTGTTGAATTTACTATTAGTATTCTCTGGAAACCTAATCCAATTTCCTTTCTGACATAACTTTAAAATCATTGTATCGTTATTCAAAGTATTGTCTCTCCTTCTATGTAAAATCTACAGTTTGCTAAATTTGGATTCTAAATAGTATTCAAAATTATTTACAGTTCTTCTTATAATTATGAAATCAATTTTTAGGAATGTATTTATTCAATCTCAGCTTTTTTTTGCAATTCTTTGCATAACTCATTAGAAATTTAGAATTGCGATTGTAAATTATCATTTTCCTACAATTTAAGACTCAATTGCTTTTTTAAATCATTGATTGATTGATCATATTAGTAAATTTATTATATCTTTTATTTGATAGCAATATCTGATTCCTCTTATATCAATTTATACTCTCTTTTGACTTAATCAACCTTTCTGTCAAATTCTATTTCAAATTCTTTTAAAATAACTTCATGATTTCTCTTCTCCAAAAACAACTCCTAATTCGATAACTTAAAATAAATGTGGATTGAATACCTAAAGGATCTTTTTGATTTAACTTGACAAGAATTCCCTTATATCTATATCATAGCTTTTAAATCTATTTTAGATGAATTACTTAGTCTCATTCAATTACTACTTTAATTATTCCTTCTACTTGCAAACTGATCTAATTACTTTTTGTTTTATCTTATTAAATTACACTTTTTGATCCTCCAATTATGAAGAGAGTAACTATTTCTCTATATCCCAGGTTTTCTAATTCTTGCTTTAAATTTAGATTAGATCTTTTTCCTTACTCTTAAGTTCTTCTATTTAAGATAAAGCATTAGTGTATTATGCTATATATTATTCCAAATCTTAGATCAATTCTTAATGCTACTTTTCCAAGCTCTCAATTTATTCATTCATTTACTGTGATTCTTTCTCTAATTGATTATACTGTCTCATCTATTCTTCTGATTGCAATTTAAACTCCAACTTTAGTTTCTTTTATTGATTTTCAAAATTAAGAATGTTTTATTAATTTTCATTGCTGAGTTTATCGATTTCTTATTCGCAAGAAGCCTACCTTTTTAATTGTTCCTCCAACATTAAGCAATGCTCTTGTTTGAATAATTTACATCTCTATTCCAATTCTTCTCCCAATCGCTTATATGAAAAGGAACCCTTAATTTCGATTTCTAATTAGTTCTAGATATTTTCTATTATCTCATGTTATTATTGCTTCTCTCTTTCCAATTCACTCAAGTAGTCTTGGTTCTCTCTTAAAGTATTCAATGTTTATTCAGAAAATTGACGCAATTCATCGATATCATTCAATAATAACTTTATATTCTAATCTTTCTTGATCAACTCTTACTCTAAATGTTCTATCTTTAATTGTTAATCTTGAATCTCCTCACTTAATTCATCTCTCTATTAATTTATTTATTTAATCTGATCTTCCAATTTTATGATACTTCTCTACTTGTTATCCTACTCATTCTATAGAGATTATTTCAATTATTGAGTTAAAGAGAATAAACTTAGCACTTCTCTATCTTTATCATTTAACGTAGTTTCTAAACTTTTTGTTAAATGTTGCTAGATTAATGATTTCTCCTACTCCATATTCTACTCTAAGTTTTCAAATTGCTTTTTATACTGCACCTCTAAAACCTTTATTGTAGACTTATGTTACCCTTATTAAAATTCGATATGCTCCTATAATTCTTTGATTTAATCCTATAATTCTACAATGAAGGCATCTTTATTTTAAACCTCCTTTAGTTTCTATTTATAATCCCGTATTTTATTGGAACTTTTTAATTTTAGCTACTCTAAGGCTTCCTTGTATTTTTGAGATTCTTAATGTTTCTTTGATTTCAATTATTCGTATTCCCATTTCAATCTTTGAACTTCATTTTCTGCTATAACATTCTCATCTATTTATAATTGATTCTTTCTATGCATCTCTTTAATTACTTTTTCCATTTCTTACTTCATAGTTTTATACTACTACTCAAGTACTTAATTAGCAGACCATTATTGTTCAAACTTTTGTCTAAATTCAAAAATCTCCTGATTTTTAAGTTTTTATTATGATTCAAATTAACTATAAGTTTCTTTCAAATTTGAAATTTCTTTATTCAATTGGTTATTTTATTAAGAAAGTTCACTATTTTATCTATTTACCCTCTCTAGATTGATTAATAGCTTTTTATTAAGCTGGATTTGTTCATCGTGCATTTCTTAGAGGCCGTTCAACTCTTTTAATTGTAATATTTATTGTTCTTACAACTTTTGCTCGAGACTCATGATTAACTACTATTCTCTATCCAAATAATCTAACTTCGCCTTTTCAATGGCCTCCTAAGATTATCTTAATTCTTATTAAAGTAAGAAGATCTCCTCTCCATAATTAAGTTAAAATGCTTCTAATGTGATTTCTTTTATCCGATTAAGGAATGCCCCTCTATTTTCAATTTCTATTTGTTCTCCAAATGCTTTCTTAGTGATGTCGATTATGCACTCTACAATAATAATCACTTGGATTACTTTCTAGCACTCTTTACTATAAAACGAACATATAGTTAATTTATAATTAAATTAAATCAAGGGTTTTGATAATCAATATTTTATATGTTTAATAAATAATATAAAATATTAAAACATCATAAAATATAAAGTACTAAGTAAACAAGGAGAAATCAATTAATTTAAAAACTAAATGCTGTTGATTTATTAAACCGAAATTATTAATACATCATTACTCAACTTCTTATTAAATATAACTTAATTCTATTGTCTTTTATCTCACTTTGAGGTAAAAGTACAATAACAACAAGATGATAATTGAAACAAGAGTGTATATCCATCTTTTACTTTTTTTTTCTAATGGAGGCGGTTTGAATGAAATATTATAAGTCCCGTTTGAAAATTCATTTATACAAAATATAGAAACATTAACCTGGCTTTATAATTTTTTATTCAAAAGGCACGTTACATTCCAAGTACCTATTGTGTAATTATATAAATGGTTTTTATAAATATATAAGGCTGTTCCATTTTAATATTAGGAATTGATAACCATTGCATAATTAGATACTGTAGTGGTAAATGAACTTTACATTAAAATAGGTTCCATTAAATTTCCATCAAACAGATTATTCAAATAATAGATTCCGACTATGTATTTCGTATTCTATTTAAATTGTTGTGTCAAAACCCCGTTCTAATAATAAGAATTGCCATTATTAATTAAATCACCAAATGCTGGAATAGTTTTAAATCCTACTCCTAATCCTTGACAATTATTATTAGTTGAACATTTTTATTGTTCAAATTTTCCTTGTGCAATATAATTAATATTGTTTGAACTCACAAGTATTATTAAACCTTTAGGTAATATATTAATAATTAGAACCAAATTATATAATACACAATATGGATAATAACAATTCTTTCCAGCACAGGGGCGGCGGTTGGAGCAT